AATTATATAAGAAGAAAAGATAAAGATGACCAACTCAGAAATTTTTATTTTTCTAAGGTTCTCATAGGAAAAGCACATTTAATACACAAGTGTCATCAGAAACTAACTTGTGCACCATCATGGCTTAATTCCTACTTGTAATTGATCAAATTCATTTTTTTCACTTGGAATTACAATAATCTTAATTCAGCATTAATTTCACAACAGATCAATTTGTAATTGCTTACATTTTTGCAATAAATCTGTACATAAGAATAGAGATGGTATTTGATTTCTTTTGACTCCATGTATAACTCCTAAAGTACCACCAGACTCTTAATTTGAATATCATCATTTTCAGATGTTTTACCCTAAAAATGGAAATGTCAGTATCTCAAGGACACGATGTTATTTGTTTAAATCTATAGCCTTTCGTAAGCCTTCTGAGACACTGATAAAATAGCAAATGCTCTAACTTTGAAGACTACTTAAATCTCTTGTCCATTCTCTCACTTACCTGTGATTGAGTTTTTAAAATAAGGGCTCAGAACCACTAGTTATTTTCCTCCTCCTCCTTTTTTTTTTTGAGACTGAGTCTCGATCTGTCGCCAGGCTAGAGTGCAGTGGCATGATCTCAGCTCACTGCAGTCTCTGCCTCCTGGGTTCAAGCGATTCCCCTGCCTCAGCCTCCCGAGTAGCTGGGACTACAGGCGCTCACCACCACGCCCGGCTATTTTTTTGTATTTTAGTAAAGATGGGATTTCACCATGTTGGCCAGGATGGTCTCGATCTCTTGACCTTGTGATCTGCCCACCTCGGCCTCCCAAAGTGCTGGGATTACAGGCATGAGCCACTGCTTCTGGCCGCCTCCTCCTTTTTAAAACCAGTATCTGCCTATCATGGTTGAAAATCACATGAAAGACTTTAAAGATGCATTCTGAAAGCTAAATAAAAATTTATTTTCCTTGAAAATCTTTATTTTGTTCATATTAAAAACCAGTTTGTGCTGGGTGTGCTGGCTCATGCCTGTAATCCCAGGACTTTGGGAAGCCAAGGCAGGAGGATCACTTGAGCTCAGGAGTTTGAGACCAGCCTGGGCAACATGGCAAAGCCCGGTCTCTACAAAACATAAAAATTATCTGAGTGTGGTAACACATGCCTGTAGTCCCAGCTACTGAGGAGGCTGAGGTGGGAGGATCTCCTGAGCCCAGGAGGTTGAGGCTTCAGTGAGCCGTGATTGTACCACTGCACTTCAGCCTGGGCAACAGAGTGAGACCTTGTCTCAAAACAACTAACAGCAATAACAACTAAAAACAAGAAAAACCAAACCAGTTTGTACTTTCAGGAATTCAGGAAACCATTAGACTACTAGTAGACAAACTCATTCTTGATCTTTTAGCTCAAATTCCTTTACTCTTCTGTTAAACCCTCCTCCCTAAATTCCTGCTGTGTTTGAGTATGCATTGAAACCATTATATTTGTAGACATTGAAAATAGATTTATCGGGCTGGGCATGGTGGCTCACACCTGTAATCCCAGCACTTCAGGAGGCCGAGGCAGGCAGATTACCTGAGGTCAGGAGTTCAAGACAAGCCTGGTCAATGTGGTGAAACCCCATCTCTACTAAAAATACAAAAATTAGCTGGGTGTGATGGCAGGCACCTGTAATCCCAGCTACTCATGAGGCTGAGGCGGGAGAATCGCTTGAACCTGGGAGGCAGAGTTTGCAGTGAGCTAAGATTGCATCATTGCACTTTCTATTTGGAAAGGTAAGAACTTCTGGAGGTAGTTGGTGGTAGTGGTTGCACAACAGTGTGAATGTATTGAATGCTACTGAACTGTACACCTAAAAATGGCTAAATATAAGTTTTATGTATATTTTACCACACAAAAAAATCTCACAGTTCATTCTTAGTCCTTGTCTTATGTGGCCTCTCAGCAGTGTTTGACACAGTTGGTCATTCACGCTGACTTCTTTATTTATTTATTTTAGAGATGGCATATCATTATGTTGCTCAGGCTGGCCTCAGCCTCCTGAGTAGCTGGGACTACAGGCACACGTGACCAGGCCCAGCTTCCCCCACCCCCCTTTCTCCTTTTCCTCTTTCTTATTCCTCCTCCTCCTCCTCCCTCTTCTTCTTCTTGTCCTTCTTGCTCTCTTCTTCCTTCTTTTTTCTCTTCTTCCTTTTTTCTTCTTCTTTTTTTTAAATAAGAGCTTTATTGAGATATAATTTACTTACCATAAAACTCACCCATTTAAAGTGTATGAGTAAATTTATTTTTTTGTATATTCACAGAATTGCTCAACCATCACCACAATCAATTTTAGAGCATTTTAATCTCACAAAGAGAAACCTGTACCTATCAACAGTCACTTTCCATTTCTTTCTTAACCTTGCCCCCAGCCCTAGGCCATCAAGAATCTAAGATTTGCCTACTTTGCACTTTTCACTTAAATAGAATCATACAATATGTGGTCTTTTGTGACTGGCTTCCTTCACTTAGCATAATGTTTTCAAGATTCTTACATATTTAGCATAATGTTTTCAAGATTCTTACATATTGTAGCATATATGAGTGCTTCATTTTTTAAATTGCCAAATAATATTCCATTGTATGGATTTACTATGTTTTATTTATCCATTTATGATTTGATGGATATTTGGGCTCTTTTTACTTTTTGGCTATTATGAATAGTGGTGGTGTGAACATTTCTGTATACATTTTTGTGTGGACATAACATTTTCGTTTCTTGCATCCTCATCTTAAAAAGTGTTTTTCATCTACACTCTGCCACAGCACTGTCTAAAAATGTAAATATTAGAATCCTAGTTAAAAATCTGTTCATTTGCTCCCCATTCCCCTACTGTTAGCTAACTTCTCTTTTCATGGACAGTCTTTCCTTTCATCCTGACTGTGGTCCATTAACACGGTACTTACCTCTTCTGATGGCCAGGACATGGGTCCCAAATTCAAAATGTAAAGGCATTCTGGATGTATTAACAACAACAACAACAACAAACATTAGTGCAAGAACAAAGTTGAACGGCAGCTGACAAACTGTGTGTCCAAAAGGCAGTAGGACCAAATCCTCTGTCCCAAGGTGCAACTTCAATTTTGCTCCAGGAAATTAATGCCACAAGAGACTGAGATACTAGTGTTGCCAGATATGATTTTTAAAAAGAAGCTAGATGTCTGGACTTTTAGGTGAGTCTTTCGATTTCTAAATAAGGCAATGAAGTCACAGTAAGAAATAAAACCTCAAAACAACAGACAAACAATACTGTGTGCACCAAACAAAAATGCATCTGTAGGCTATGCGGGTCAATAAGCTCCATTTTGCGAGGGGAACCTCTGTCTTGAGATATTAAAGGTGGAGGGTAAGATTACTTCATATATTTCTTGCATCTTTTTGGGCTCTTTAAAAATCTCCAGCCTGCCAAGTGTGGTGTGGATTTAGCAAAGGTTCATAATAATCCAGGCACTTGGGAGGTTGAGACAGGAGGATTGCTTGAGCCCAGGAGTTCGAGGCCACCTTGGGCAGCATAGCAAAACCCACCTCCAAAAATAAAAAATAAATCTCCAACCACAGCTGCTAGGAAATGGAAGAGTCACCAAAGGTTTTACAGGTTGTCAGTGCTTTGCTGAGCCTACTATGCTGAATTGAATGATACACAGAGAGTTGAACACATTAAATACTTTATTCACACTGTTTACAAACTATATCCACCTGGAAAACACATGAATCCAAAAATAGATTATTTTACAGTAATTCACATTTTTTAAAACAAGTTATTTTGAAGTTAAACTCTAAGTATGGAGGTCTTCAGCCTGTACAGCGGTTCAGTGCCTCACCATTTGATTCCTGCTTTGGTGAAATAGAAGTCCTAGGGGCAGTCTACCTAGTAGTAAGTCACTAATGACTTACATGCCATTGACTGATGAGAAAATGTCAGTGCAGACTTCAACACATGAACATTTATTGGTGTAAATTCACTGTCGCGATTTTTGTCAAGGAAATAGGTGTTTTAGCGCTTGAATACACATCAGGTAGGAAGACAAAACAAAAAAGACTTGCCATTTAATTGGCCGTTACAGAGTTGTCGGGACATTTCCAGTTCTATAATTGTTTAACATCTGGACCAGAGATGGAATCAACGAATTACAATTTTATTGTGTTAACAGCTTGAATCATAGAAACAGCAGTGATTTGGTAATTGATGCCAGTGTCTGTTGACTAACTCTGCATATCAGATGCCAGCCATCAGTTAGAAGGGGGAATAAACCCAGCAACAATTAATAATGTGGTTAATGTTAAGTAAGTCCAGAAGGACGTCTGTGGAAATTTTGCTGAGTGGTCAGAAAGATGCTCTGGTTAAGAAATTTACTATGAACCTATGCTAAATCCAATTATGTCCCAGCTTGATGGCTTAGCTCTTTCATTAATTAAGATACTTTTCTGGCCAGGTGCCGTGGCTCACACATGTAGTCACAGTACTTTGGGAGGCTGAAGCAGGAGGATCTCTTGAGCCTGTGAGTTCAAGACCAGCCCTGGATAACATAGCGAGAACCCATCTCAAAAAAAAAAAAAAAAAAAAAAAAAAAAAAAAAAAAAAAAAAAAAAAAAAAAAAAAAAAAAAAAAAGGATACTTTTCTATGGATTTTTGGCTTTAATAATTTAAAATCTAAAGTATGTATGCCTTATATCTCACCCTCTCCTACCATAACCTGCAAACTAATCATGCTTTCCCTTGCCTTTGCTGAGCTGCCACAGTTAACTATTTGAAAACTTTTGAACCTTTGGGATGGGAGTATTGGATGTGTCTCTAACGGCAGAATTGAAACGTTTTTCTCTGATCAGCACCAATGGCATTGGATGTAACTGTTCCACAACTCTAGGAAAATAATGTTTGATCAAGGCACCACAAAAGATCATCCCCTCATCCCCTTATGGGGAAGAAAGGATTTCTTACGAGTTGCCACTGTCACCCCTCCGTAGACAGCAACTCTGAACCCAAATGTAAGCTGAGATGTGGAGAAATTTTAGCATGTTTGCAGGTTAAAAAAAAAAAAAAAGAAAAGAAAAAGAAGCCTTTCCAATGTCTATTGCAATCTGATTGTTTTAAAGGACAGAAATCCATAAAATGAGCTTGATGCCTGGAGCAGATCATAGCTTGTCTTCCTGCCACCCGTGTGCATTTTTTCCAAATTTGTACACTAACCTTCGGTCGACCCGCTCCAAAATTCCCGTTTTATAGTAGTATCTGAAAAAGCAAGCAGGAGAAATTCTTGGAGGGGTTGCACCCTAGGAAAACAACAGAACACAAACTCTCCTCATTCTTCTCAGGTGACAAGGCTGGTATTTTCACACCCTGTTATCAACTTACACTTAAACCTTTCCCAGACATCTTGAAGACTGAACCTCACCATTCTCAGTTCAAAACGTGTTTTGTGCGTGTGTGTGCGAGATGGCCTGGATTCAGAGTGATCCCTGGGGAATACTGCCAAGACAGTGTGTCAATTTACAAACCATAATCCTACCTGTAACTAAGAGCCAAAGTTTTGTCTCATGACCTTTCCATTATCAGGTAAAAAACCTGCAAAAACAGTGTAATTTTCTACAGCCATCCATTTTATATAACTCTTCTTGAAGGCTCATGGTATTTTATGCTATTAACTTACCTCAGGGCTCTGCTCAACTTTTCATACGTCATTCTGTCATTTTTCTTCCTTTGTCCCCACATCTTTGCCAGGGCTTCTGATTTAACCACCCGAAAAATTCCTTGTTCCCTATCTTCCCATTCCAGAATTCCACAGTTTTCTTCAGGAGATAGAAGTAGATCTCGTACAAATTCCCATAGATGAGAACTTTGGAGGCCTTTTAAAAATGGGAAAACATTAGCGATTTACAGTTGTTTTTAAATTTTTTTTTTTTTTTTTTTTTGAGACAGAGTCTCACTCTGTCACCCAGGCTGGAGCGCAATAGCATAATCTCAGCTCACTACAACATCTGCCTTCTGGGTTCAAGTGATTCTCCTGCCTCAGCCTCCCAGGTAGCTGGGATTATAGGTACCCGCCACCATGTACAGATAATTTTTTGTGTTTTTAATAGAGATGGGGTTTTGCCACATTGGCTACACTGGCCTCGAACTCCTGACCTCAGGTGATCCACTCACCTTGGCCTCCCAAAGTGCTGGGATTACAGGCATGAGTCACCATGCCCGGCTTGTTTAATTTTAAGAGAACAGATGTGCAACTTCTCACTAATCCATGACTGATTGCTCTACCTGGAAACTTACTGAGCTGTGACGTGTCTGTCTTTGACTGAAGCAATTGTGAAACAAACACTGTGACTCACAGATATTCTATGGAACTACAGTTTAATTCTTTTTTCTGAGACAGAGTCTCACTCTGTCACCCAGGCTGGAGTATAATGGCGTGGTCTCAGCTCACTGCAACTTCTGCCACCTGGGTTCAAGTGATTCTTTTGCCTCAGCCCACCTAGTAGCTGAGACTACAGGTGTGTGCCACCACACCTGGATAATTTTTGTAATTTTAGTAGAGATGGGGTTTCACTATGTTGGCCAGGCAGGTCTCAAACTCCTGACCTTGTGATCTGCCTGCCTCAGCCTCCCAAAGTGCTGGGATTACAGGCATGAGCCACTGCACCTGCCCTACAGTTTAATTCTTATGAAATGAATGAAATGACAGTCAAATGATCTTTCGATTTTTCTTTCTGACAGGAAGCATGGTTGTACTGATTCCGTAGCCACAGCTGTCTGGGTGGACTGATCCTGCAATTTAGTTTTTCATGAAAGGCTGGTATTTCTCTTATTCTATGATATGGTGGTTAAGACCAGTTCTGGAGTACCATTGACTGGGTTTGGGTCCTGAATTCCTCTCTTCCTACCTTTATAACTATAAACTCTTATAGTTACTTTACCTATAAAATGGGATAATAAGAGTACCTGTCTCCTAGGAGAGGTTAGATAATTTAATGATTTAATACATACCAAGTAGTTAGAATCACGCCTCGCATGTAGCAATTGTTTTCTACACATTCATTTGTGAAATTGCAAGCTTGACACTGCTCTGGGCAGATCTCTTAGTGCTAGGAAGGCTAATAGAATTGCTGATTCCCAGTGTTTTCTTTGTTATCCTCCTCTGAGAAGAAGCTACAGTGGACCCAGGATTGGACATGGCTCCAGATGGCGGAGCCATAACTTGAACCCAGAGAGTTTTCATTCCAAAGCTAATGTTCACAACTACAATCATGTCTTTCATAGTAGGTGTTCAATAGACATTTAATGGATAATTATTAGCTATGATTTGTTAAGCATTTGCTATTGTCAGATGCTCAATCTCACCCACTCTTATGAGAAGAAATAAATCTGATTTTGATAATACATATACAAGCAATCATTGATTTCTTTACTACCTTCCTTGGGAAGTAACTGGTCCAACTCAAATGTTTGGTTCCAAAGCTTATTAAAGTAGATGACTTTGTTTTAGGAATGGTTTTAAGGAAGTGGAAATGAAAACCGGCCTCCTGCACTTACTTGTTCTACTATGACTGTGACAGTCTTGACTTTTGATGCCACTTGTTTTCAAGCAGTTGGAATCGGCATCTGAAAAAGAATAATTTATAGCAGTGGAAAGGTATACAGACCTCAAGTCATACCCAAATGAGCAAACACTAATTGAATGCCTTTGTGGTAGAAGACACCATGTTAGGCACTTTGGAGGTGATTAGTAGTTGGCAGGTGTCAGGATGCTTTAAGATGTGCCTTAAGGAGCACTTGGATTTAATCTCACCCACCCCGATGAGAATAAATAAATCTGGTTTTGATCAAGGCCCATGCCGGGCCTTCCTGGAAGGCCATGGTAAGAACTTGGGACTTTATATTGAAGTGCAGAGCAAAGATCCACGTTTTAAGATCTCTCTTGCTCCTATGTGGAGAACAGACTGGAAGAGACACAAGTAAAAGCAAAGAGACTAGAGCTTATGAAGGGTAGAAAGCAAGCCGTTAACTCCGTGCTGATTTAAATGATAACTCGGGCTGTGAGTCACAACCTGAGACACCTGGACAAGCACTGTCCCAAAGTAGTATAAGAGTTTTTAAAATGGTGGCACCAGATCTGCCCCTCCAGCCCAAACTCAGTCTCCACCGCTTCCCATAGCCCCCAACTTGCTTTGCCCTTGCCACCCTGGCTTCAGACTCTCTGGAAACGTGCAGGCACATTCTACATCGGGTCTTCACAGTTGCTCTTCCACCTGTCCAGCACGCTCTTCCCTTGGATACTTGTGGTGCATGCCCTCATCTCAATCCTGGCTCAAAATCACCTTCCAGTGAGTCCTCCTCTGACCACCCAAGTTGGGACTGTATATCCTCCCCACTGCTCTGCATTTTACATAGAATATTCAAGTATATTCTATGATGTATTTATTCATGCAGTTCACTGTCTGTGTCCACGAGAGGGCAGCAATTTGTGTTTCCAGATGTAACCCTGTAGAACCTAGCACACTGCTGGGGCACATAGTAGGTGCTCAGTGAGTATCATCAAGCCGCCACTGTACTATACTATAGTAACTGTACTGCACCATACTATACTAGCTATACTGTATAGTGCTGTACTATACTAACTCTACTGCACTATACCACACCATACTGCACTGTACTATACTGTACATATACTATACACTGTACTATACTATACCGTACTGTACATACTATACTATACAAACTATACTGTACTAACTATACTCTATTGTACCATACTATACTAACGACACTGTACTGTACTACACTATATTAACTATGCTATACTATACTACATTATATTATACTGTACTATACCATACTACCTATACTGTGACTGTACTGTAGTACACCATGCTAAATATTCCATACCATACCATACTGTATGACACTAACTATACTATCACTGTACTATACTGTACTGTGCTATACTGTACTATACTATACTAACTATACTGTAGTAACTATACTATATTGTATTATACTATAGTATACTATACTAATTATACTGTACTGTGCTATACTATACTGTACTATTCTATACAAACTATACTGTACTGTGCTATACTATACTGTACTATGCTAACGACAGTATACTGTACTTACCATACTAATTATACTGTGACTGCACTGTAGTATACCATGCTAACCATACCATACCATACTAATTATACTGTACTGCACTGCACTATACTAACTATACTATTACTGTACTGTAATAACTATACTATACTGTACTATACTATACAACCTGACTGTACTAACTATACTATATCGCATTATACTGTAGTATACTAACTATACTGTACTGTGCTATACTAACTATACTGTACCAACTGCACTATATTGTATTATACTATAGTATACTATACCAACTATACTATACTGTACTGTAATAAGTATACTATACTGTGCTATACTAACTATACTGTATATTATACTATACTGTACCTACTGTACTATACAAACTAGACTATACTGTACTATACTAACTATACTGCACTATACTATACTGCACTAACTGTACTATAGTGTACTAACAATACTGTATTGTGCTGTACTATATGAACTAAACTATACTATACTATACTATACTATACTATACTATACTACATTATACTGTACAACAATCCCTGCTGCATCATCTACTGTGTACACTGTCACTGCTAAATGCAGGAAGGGCAGGAATGACATCCTGTGCCCCACACTGCTGCTCAGGGTGACCTCTCTCAGTGCCACTGGGTCATGTCACTCCCCGGCTGAACATCCTGCAGTGGTTCCCCATTTCTTCCAGGATGAAGGCTGCACATTAGATAGGCCTTTCACAGACTGACCCCCACCCAAGTTTCCAGCCTTATCTCATCTGTATCCCAACTTTTTCCCTTCCCTTGGGTCAAATGGTTCCATTGGGGTGTGGCTTTCTCCTGGCTCAGGACCTTTGCACAGACTCCCCACTCCCTACTTCTACCCAGCTGACCCCTCACAAGACCTCTTCAGGAAGGCTTCTCTGAACTTACCTTCTGGGTCAGATCCCTTATGAGCCCCATAGAGAGCACCTGTGTGTTCCTTGGTATCACAGAACTGGGTCCACTTTACTGCAAAGATTCATCTCGTCTCTTTTTCTCCTCTACTATTAGGTGATATTCACAGAGCACTTACTAAATGCCAAGTGCTTGGTAAGGGCTTCACACAGAGTATCTCATTTAATCCTTGTAACAACCTATGTGATATTATTAGGATTTTTATTTTATTGAGGAGAAATTTGATGCCCAGAGAGTTTAAGAATTTTGTCCAGATGGTGGAGCCAGGATTTGAACCCAGACAGTTCTCATTCCAAAGCTAATATTCACAACTACTACTTTATCACATCTTTTGCAGCAGGCGTTCAATAGACATTTAATGAACTATTATTAGCTAAGATTTGTTGAGCATTTGCTGTTGCTGGATGCTCACTCAACCTCCTGCACCGGTATGATATATGTCTATTACTGTCTCCAGATCGACCTGTTGTTTTGATTTAATCTTTTAGAAGAGAAAACAAATGGAGTCATGAACAAAGATGAATTATGAAGTGTGAATAGACAACAAGCTTTCATTGAAATGCAAAATGGCAAGAAGTGGGAGGAAAAACATTGCCCTTTGGATTTTATGATTTCTCGTGTGTTTTGGATGCAGGGGATCTGGCGTGGTAGGATAAACACAGCACAGATCAGCATGAGAGGGGTTTATGAGGATGGTGGGAGTTTCTTCTGTGGGTCTTGCCAGAGATAACCCTGTTCTATCTGTTCCTAGCTCTGCAGTGATAGCTTTGAAGGTACTCATTGGTTGAGGGGTCAAGGCTTCGCCTGGCTGGTGGTGGCAGGGGCAGGGAGCTAGTCATTACTGCACTGTTAATCTTGAGGCAGGTTCCCAAATCAGCCCCCAGCAGGACTGGCTGGTGGATCTGCAGCAGCACCGTGAACCCACGGTATTTCTCTGCAAATGCCAGTTGGGTTTCAGGGTGCAGCTCTCCCTGGCTCACGACTTTCATCATCTTGACTGTGTCCCTGCAGCTGGTGGGGAATGAGGGGAGACACGGCCCAGGCTCTCTACTGTCTGTGAAATGTAGAGAGGCTTGGTTGGCCTTGAGACTGGACACTTTTAAAATGTGGCCAAAGGATATATTCTCAGCTGTTGATATCCTCCACCCTGGGGTGGGGGCCTGTCTGGCAGGGTTTCCAAAGCAAATTCATCATATCCCCATAACAACAGCAGTCCAGCCATGGTGCCCATACCCCATGCCAGGCTGGTGCAGAGAAGCTCTGAGGCTCAGGAGCAGGGAGGTGCCTGGCAGTGAACCCAGGACTGTAGACTTGGTTCTTGGGCCCAGCATACCCTCCACTGGCATTGCTGCAGTGGAGGTGGGTAGGGAATGGGGCAGGTGGAGAGGAGAGAACAAGCAGAGAGGGAGTGGGTTTCTTCACTTTGGCCAGCTCTGACAGCTTTGTAGCTTGTGTGCCTGGACACCTTCAGTGGGCACCAAGTTGAAAACAGTCTTGTTTGAATTATTGTCAAGCTACACTCAGACCCTGTGGGGTTCCCGGGCTTGGATCTTAACTGAATGGGCAGCCGAGAGAATAGAAGGGTCTGGGAACATGTGTGCATATGTCCCTGTGTGTGTGTATGCGTGCTTGCATGTATGAGTGTGCATAGCACAATGTATAAAAGCACAGGCTTTGAGGAAATGTGTTGGAATCTCAGCCCTGCACTTACAAGTTATTACACGTCCAGTTTCCTCAGATGCAAATGGAGATAACAACACTACCTAATGGAGCTAAAACAAGGATAAAATGATATAATATAAGCAGAACACTTGGCTCAGTGTCATGCTTAACACATAGTAAGTGCTTAATAAATGGTAAAGAGAGCTAATCATTTTTGCTGAAGACCCAATGGGAACATTGCTGAAAGCCCCAGGATGCCACTTTGTCCTCATTGGCCAGGTCTTGGTCTTTGAATGGCACATCAACACTGAAAGGTGGCCTCTAGTTTTGGGTCAGGGAATATCTGAGACCATGAAACATCACCTGGGCCATAGGCACTGTGACCACATGCCCTGGACTTTCTGGGATGGGCTCATTGTATAAACTACCAATCTGTTGTCTTCATACCTCCCCTTGTGCTCATCAACTATCCATTAGGGTTTCTGTTTGGAGAAAGCATGGTCATCAGGGTTGTGGGAGAGCCAGAGATGGGCCTCAGGGGATTTGGGGGATGCCGTGCCTAGCTTTGGGCCTGGCATATAGTAGGTGTTCAATGAATGTTTGTTCAAAGAGTGAAGGAAACAGGAGAGAAATAAATAGGTAAGGGGAGCAAAGGCGTCAAGGGCTTCAGATTTAGATACAACTGGGTCATCTGTTGCCTTCTAAGCATGTCACCTTTAAACGCTAAGCTCCAGCTCCTACCCCTACAAAAAGGCTATAGTACTAGGACTTGTCTCATATTGGGAAGATTACCTGACACAACGTCTATAAAGATTTTGGCACAGGGCCTGGTTCATAGGAAGCACTCAACAAATGCTAGCTGCTGTTGTCATCCTCATTCTCATCCTCCTCATCATCACACTGAATCTAACTGTGGCTAGTTGTATATTCAGGTAACACCTACTTGAAAAGAACTGACTGGACACACCTTCCCTTTCTATTGCATGATCTTCCTTTTGTCGTATGGAAGGCAGGCTGGTAAGTGATCCCATTTGTAGGTAAAGACACTGACCCCTGGAGAAAGGGCTGGTCAGGTCCAGGTCACCACTACTTAGAGAGTAAAGCAAATGCCTACCTGTGGCTCAAGCCTTTGGCCACAGTCATGTCTCATTTCTTCCAGCGCCTTTGCCTGGGTTAGGTGGGGTGGCGAAAGCTGGGATTTGCATCCCCAAGGCTGCTGCAGATGGATCACAAGGGATTCTGCCAGCACCAGGAAACTATGTGAGCTTTGTTCACACATGGGTGAGGTGCTACACCCGGGGGCCCCGAGTGATGAAACCTAGCAGAATGCAGAGCGGCTCGTGAAAGGGTAGTTGCGGTCTGTGGGGCAGGGTGCGCCTGCTTAACCCCTAGCATGTGGTCCACAGACTGGCTATTCCTGTGCTAAAGCACCAAAAACAAAACAAAACATAAAAATCCAGAAACTTTTGTTAGCTAGGAGCCAAGTAACGTGACTCCTCAGTTGATTGCTTGGGACTTTAAGAAGAAAAAAATCATAAACCACAAAACAGTCCCTCTGTGTCTGCCCCTCCAGCTTGCATCCCTCAGAGGCCTTGGAAACACCACATGCTCTGCTCCGTCTCTGCAGATGGCTGAGCTGAAGCCCATGGGGTAATGGGGTTTGCCCAGGACCACATCTCCTGGCCTCCGGGACTCAGTAACTAATAGCAATCATCACTGTCATTTTTAAAAAATGAAAGCACCACAGATCCCTTTCCCTAGCCTTCTTCATCTGCCAAAGTGAAACAGGGAAGGTTAATCATCAGCATCAAGGTTATTTGAGATCCTCCATTATCTTGTGTTTACAAACCCTCCCTACTTAGTGAGCTCAGAGTCTTCTTAAGCACCATGGACCACAGGCTTCTAATAGTATTATTAGTGTTATGACTGATAGATACTGGTTTTGGGGGCATCTACACTGGTGGCACATGCTGGATCCTTTGTGGGTGTCGTTTCTCAAACTCACCATGACCCACAAGGGTCACACTATTTTATAGACAAGGGAATGGAGTCTTGGAGGATCAGCAATCCATAGACCCAAGCTGTGGTCCCCCAGACCCACGCCGATGCTCTTTCTGTCACTCTTTCCACCACACTTTTCCCCACTGGCTTCTCCAGGTCTGGGATTTTTTCAGTTCATCAACTTTTCAGTACGATCCTAAAAGAATGCTCAAGCCCATGTGCCAATGACAGCCTTGATAGAGCCTTGGGTGGCTTGTGCTTAGATACTTACAGTCTTTGATGGTGGCCTTGCTCTCTTCAGCGTCATTAAAAAAGGAGTAACCTGGGAAAGAAAAAGAAATCCACAAACCATACCATACAATCCTGGTTTCCACTGGCCAGCCCAGGAGAGGGGGTGTTAGAGGGAAGTGGAGTGACTGTCCCTCTCAATGTTGGTTACATTTTAGAGGGGGCCTTGGAGACCATCTGGCCTTAGCGTGCCACCCTGAAGTCATCCCTGAGAGGTAACAATGTCCTCATTTTTAAAGGTCATTTGGAGGGAGCACCCAGAACCAGGCAACCCAGCAGCCTCTGCAGATGTTCTGAGCAGGCACTGGAGAGTAAGCTTTGGTCTGGGGTCCAGGGCTGGGCTCTGAGCTGGGCTGGCCTACTGACTCCTTTGCAGCCTTGTCCAGTCACTCAGTCTCTGGGCTTACTGGTGTTTCTCACTGACATCATGAGACAAAATACCCACTAAGCTCCCCTTTGGTGAAGAGTCGATAGTCTCTGACATGGCCTCTAATCCCTCGGGGACTGGAATGCCTGTTATGTGCTGGTCAGCAGGGAGAATGGGCATAAGAGACTGCAAGAAGTGCAAAACCCTAAGTGAATGCTGAGTTTAATGAGGATGTGGAAGATGAGGCCAGGGCCTTGGTTGTCTCTGCTGTGGGGAATGGGGTGGGCTGGGGTTGAAATGGGAGTTTCAGATCGTGTTTCCACATAGCAGTGTAGGCCGAAGGATACCAATTTCCTAGTTTGGTCCAACCCAAGGACTAACTTCTATTTGCTAAGCAGACTGGGGCAGGGCGCAGTTGTGATTGTTTATTCCTGGTGTCATGTTCTCATTGGTTTTGGTCAGCCAGGTACCTCAGTTGACTCTGACCAAGGGGATGACTGAGAACAGGATGGGGGACTGAAGAGGGGCTCATTTCTCTCCTAGGCTGTGGAAGCCACCCTCTGACCTTGCCTCCCAGCAACCAGTGTCCCCAGGTTTCTGGGCCCATAAATCCTACCGTAACACCTATGGAGCTGGATGGTGCCTGGCCCCCGCAGCCCCTTTCCAGCTCATCTCCTCAACAAAACTGCCTTGTTCTGTATCCTATTCTGCCAGAGTCCTAACCTATGGGGCAGCATAAGGCATATATGAGGTAATAACCCTGAGTTCACGATACAATTTATGATCCAAATGGAGACACTTTTGAGAATGAAAGGTAGTGCTATCGTAATAATTACTCCGGGATAACAGGTGGAAACGATGTTTCTTGGGCAAATGGGGACAGTGTGAACTTTGGTCACAATATACATATCTCCACAATCTACAATCCACATACCTGCTTGGGAAACATTAGAAGAGGAGTTTCAGAATGGAGCAGATTGGTGGAGCAGATAGTTTTACTGCTCAACATGGAACCCTCCTGGCTAAAGAGTGTCTGAAATCCCACCATTAAAGGCGGCAGTGTGACTCCAGGAATTCCTTAGAATAAGAAAAGGTAATGCATGGCCTATTAAAAAGCAGTTGGCTTTTTAGGTTTAGCCTATCCATTTTGCACAGAGCCCTGGGGTAATAAAACCAGGGACAATTTTTTTTTTTTTTTTTTAGATGGAATTTCACTCTTTTTTTGCCCAGGCTGTAGTGCAATGGTGCAATCTCAGCTCACTGCAACTTCCACCTCCTGGGTTCAAGTGATTCTCATGCCTCAGCCTCTTAAGTAACTGGGATTATAGGCACACACCACCATGCCTGGCTAATTTTCTGTTTTTAAGAGAGACGGGGTTTCACCATGTTGGCCAGGCTGGTCTCGAACTCCTGACCTTAGGTGATTCACCTGTCCTAGCCTCCCAGAGTGTTGCGATTACGGGCATGAGCCACCGTGCTCGGCAACAGGTATTTTTTTTTATATATGACAATTGCCATGGAAGAGAGGTGCCTGTGGTGGGAGACACCAGCACTGGGGCTGCACAAAGGCGTGGGGACAAATGAGGGTGACGTGACATTTGGCCAAGCTGGCATTGCCAGGCTGCATCTTTTTCAGAATGAAATTCACCCCTCTCCATGGCCCCAGGATTTTTGTGCAAGCCTGTTCCCTTGGGAGGATCCTAAATGGAGTCCCAAGCTCCTTCTGGAGCCGTTGTGACTTGTTCAGACTTGTCCTCTCTCAGGGAGTGCCCACTCCGAGCACAGGACACAGATCCCAGCTCTTGGCAGGTCACTGTCACTGGAGTTGTGGCTCCAAGGGCCCAAACCATGAAGCACCCAAGGGCCACCGTTCCTAGCTTTTCTGCCTTCTAGAGCTCCTGATGGATGAAGAGCAGGAAGAGGTCAAAGAATCACAGAACAGGTAGGTCCTCTGTGGGTCTTCTGTCCAAATAAGAGTGGCTGTCATAGCCTCCCCTTCAAGCAGGGAGCTCTTAGACTGCTTGATTATCTCTGGTGGGGGGGAGCTTCCTATCTCTTGTATCTTCTGAATTACCTTTTCAAAAGAAGGTGCTACCTTTTAAAAAGATCCTTCTTAAAACTGAGCTAAGATATGTTTCCTTTAGCATCCTGCAATATGCCTGTTGGTTATATTAATGATGATGGAAATAGCTGCTATTTACTGCATTTCCATCTTTATAAGCCGTGCTAGGTAATATTTCCCTCAATCCTCTAAAAAAGCTCATGGAGGTGTCATTATCCCATTGGACAGATGAGGCAATGGGGATTCAGACAGGTTAAGCCACTCGCCATAGGTGCTATGGTTTGGGAGTATTGGAGCCAGGGTTGGAATGCAGGTCTTTTGGATCTCCAAGCCCTTGCTTTGTACTGACTTTCTGTGAATCAGCCCTGTATGCTGTGTGACCTTGAGGAAGTCACTTAATGTCTCGGGATATCAGTTCCTTTCATCTATGTGTGACTTTGAGACATTAGAACTCGATGTTCTCAAAGAACCTTTCTGGATTGAAAAAAATGTGCTTCGACATTCTGCATGCAAAAGGCCTGTTGAAAGTTAAATAATGCTATTGGCGCCACCTTCTGGCCACTTGATCCTCAACCATTAGGAATGTGAAGAAATGGTAATTAGTTGGACTCCTGTGGAAATGGGAAGGGTAAGGGTCTGTTTAACTTTATTCCCCTTCTGCTTAATCAGAGATGAAGCAACACCTCTTTTTTGTCCATCCTGTGTGGTTTCAAATCATTATAAAGATACTGTATTATTATAAGCCTGGTACCTGGGCAGTCCCTGAATGTGGTGTTAGTCTTTCTTTTTTCTTTTTTTTTGAGACGGAGTTTCACTCTTGTTACCCAGGCTGGAGTGCAATGGCACGATCTCGGCTCACCGCAACCTACGTCTCCTGGGTTCAAGCAATTTTCCTGCTTCAGACTCCGAGTAGCTGGGACTACAGGCGCATGCCACCATGCCAAGCTAATTTTTGTATTTTTCGTAGAGACAGGGTTTCACCATGTTGACCAGGATGGACTTGATCTCTTGACCTGGTGTTCCACCCATCTTGGCCTCCCAAAGTGCTGGGATTATAGGTGTGAGCCACCACGCCCAGCCAGTTTTTCTTTTTTAAAAATGCACTCAACTTGCATTTCTGTAACTTGCTCCCTTTTCCCTAAAATCCCCAATTCTGGCATGTTAGCTTCCAGTTATTGAAGGTTTTGGTTAACAGAGAACTCCAGTTAGTAAAGTTTTGCTGTGCAAGTCACATGGTGAAAAAGGACTTCTCCAGGTTGTTTGGTCCTAATCCTTGTCCCTCCCCTGGAGGCCCAGCCCTCTGAACACTGACCTTGTGTGCGGATGTTCTGGAGGATGAAGTACAGGTACTCCCCGCAGAGGCCGGCCGCCTCGACGAACTCCTCCTGTGTCATGCTGCACAGCTGCAGGCCGCTGATGTTGAAGTGGCAGAAGGAGATGCAATTGGTGTCCAGCTTGTACTGATCGCAGCAGAACTGAAGCCACTCCCACACATGGCGCTTAGTCCAGTATTCAGGGGGGACTGACGTCCAGTACGAGTCGCAGGCTGCACCAAAGGAGAAAGAAGTGAGGAATGATAGTCCCAAGATAGTCTTCAGAGGGCCCCCAAAGCCCACATCAGTTTTGTAACATCCTCATCCCTCCGCCAATGAGTTGAAAAGGGCCTTCACCCCTGGGTTTTCTGTAGGGCCCAGGTCACCTTCTATTCTGCAGAGAAGATCAGAGGGACTGGATCCTGCAGATAAGCTTTGGGGTCAGGGAGGGAATGACAGGGGCAAGAAAGAACCAGAGTTAGTGTTGGTGCTTTTAAAAAAGCATTTAGTGGAAAAAGAAAGAAAACAGCCCTTCAGTTATTTGATTCCAGACAACATGATGTCAAAAGCACAGACTCAGCTGTTTGACAGGCCGGGTTGAAATTCTGATTCCACCGCTTTCCAATTGGGCAAGGTCTATGGGCATTGAAATCTCAGTTTCCTCATCTGAAAAATGCGGATAATATGCTCAACACTCAGGACTGTTATGGAGTTTGGGGTTAATGTATGTAGAATGGCGCATAAAAACTTAGTAACCAATTCAATAGTCACACATGTCTACTGTGTATCAGACACCATTTGAAGCTGGTTTAGTCCCTATACTTTAAAGGGCAGTTGCCCAATGCTGGCTACTTGTTTCTGCACTGTTACTGGCCATCTTGTGGCAAGAGCCTTGGGTTCTTACACATTGCCCAGAGTCTGACTGTCCTTGGGTCACCATAGTAGGCGCCTCCAGAGGAAGGTGGTCACGGGAGAGCTGGTTGTTCTGTTGTTCTTGTGTTTTTGGTGGTGTTCAGAGTAATTTCTATCCTGAGATCAGAGTCCCTCATTCCTTTAGAGGAGTCGTGTACATGCCTCAACGTTGAGAGTGCCATCTGTCTGGGAGACTGGGATGTGACTGTGTGTGGCCCTGGGACAGAGATTTGGTGTTCAACAGTTCCATCCTACTGTTCCTGGGAGAAATGGAAAGTGAGGTGGACACAAGGTATGCAAGAGGTGAGGAATTAGGTACTTGGTCAGGCTCTTTGACATAAACAATTATTGTATCTGCCATGGAATTTATTTATTCATTCATTTATTCATTTCATTCAACAAATGAAAGCTTTAGTTTCTTAACTGGTAAAACTGGAATAATTATAGCACCTACATCATAGTGTTGTTTTGCAGATTAAATGAGTTAATTACATAAAAGTACCTGGAACAGAGCCTGGAGGATTTAAACCCTATTACAAACATTAGTATTGAATATCTACTATGTGTACAGCAACACACTGTGTAAGGATTCATGGTGGACAGGTTTGGTCCCTGTCCCCCAGGAGGTCACAGAAGAGGAACTTGAAAGTCATGAAGGACTTTCCCAAGAACCCACGCCAGTGAGTGGCAGAGCTGGATTTGAACCCCAGCCTGAACTGGAAAGCCATTGCTCTCCCCATGCCACCATAGTGGTCCTCAGAGGGTCAGCGCAGAGCAGAGATGAACATGAAGAGTGGCTGAGACGGGGGAGAGCTGGAGAGAACACAACGCAAGGGCCTGAGTAGAAAGGCAGACAGCAGAGAGTGACATGCAGAGAGCAAGGTGACGATGACTGAAAGGGTCCCTCACATGTTAGACCCCACAGCAAATGGCAGTGGTGCGATTTGCAGCATTTAAAGGCGAGTAGCAATCGCACCATTGCCAGTTGCTGATGATTCCAGGCAGGAGGTGGGTTCTGTGCGGTCAGGTGCTACTGCTCACTCAGCACCCTCTGACTGGCAGCCAAGGTGCTACATGTTTTTGTCGTCTCAAGTTTCCCAGGTCTTCCCAACAATCCTATCCAGTAGGTGTAATTGGGCTATTTCACAAAGGAGGCTCCCCTTAAAGCTCTTCCAGAGATCTCTTCTATATGCCTGCGGATCAAACCGTCAGTATTGTGCCAGGCTGCTTGAGGCCGATGTCGTAGCCTCTACCTGGCGGATAGGAAGAGCCAGGGAGCAGGTGAGGCCAGGTCTTGATCACTGGCCACTGGCTGGAGCCGGCCCACCAGGCCCGTGGGGGCTCTTCAGGGCAGGCAGGGGCTCCTGGCAGAACAAGGCGCCATTCCTGAGTTCGGCCTGCGCTTTCATCTACTGATTTCTGGCTTGAGTAAACCTGAGGGGCCTTTGGACTTTCCTGGCGTTCCGCGAGAGACGTTTATGAGCCTTGACATTCTTCAGCCGCGGGTCCTGCCCGGGCCCTGCCCGAGATGGCTATCGGTGTGCGGCGGTCGGAGGGCACAGCTGATTTCTTTTCATGGAAAGGTTTCGCCAGGGCTCTGTTCCGCTGTTCCCGTCCCCTCCCCTCTCCGCTTCCACCCCGTTGCTATTTTCTTTGGCACTGGAAGAGGGCCATATTGTTTGCGGAAGCCAAGGGGGCCTCAAGGATTCGGAGAAACGCCCGGGCGGGAGTCGGCCCCACGCGGGGAAGGTGTTGCTGGCGCTGGCTCCCTGCTCCCCGGCGCTCGGCTTTGAAGCTCACCCCCAGGGCGGCTTTGTGTGCGGCCCCGGCCCCTGGAGGGGAGCCAGAGCCCGGCGGAGGCCCCCTCTCCTCATCCGCAAGCTCCTTCCCCAGCCCCAGAGCTGGGAGGAAAATGGCTGCTCTGGGTGCCGGGGCGGGCCTCCAGGGGGCGCTTTTCCGCGGGCGGGGGTCCCATCCTCAGGACGGGAGGAGGGCCGCAGAGCGGAGGCTGCGAGCACCGGGGAGGGAGGGCAGCGTCAGCCCCTCCTCATCCGCCCCTCTCCTGCTCTCCTCGCTCAAGAGGCTTCGCAGCCGGCATCTCCCCACAGGGGCTTCTCTTTGGATGGAACGTGGTCCCCACCTGCCTTCTCCTGAGGAATCCCTGTTCATCCTCACTCTCCCTTGCATAGAGTCTCCCCCTCTCCACTCAGGAGCCCTCAGGCGTCCTCCTCATCGCCCCCCTCCAGACCAAGAGTTTGGCTCGCCCTGAACCAGGAGTGCTTGGAGCCCGGCCTAGCCCACCGCAGGCCTCCCTCAGTGAGGGTGTCTGATTGACCAGATGACTGGCAGTCACTCTCCACTTTACACACGGGGAGACGGAGGGACTCCCGTAAGGTCAAACGGCCTGCCAGTAAACGCTTAGGCACCCCATCTCTTCTTGAATGTGGGGATTTTCCCTCCCAACATGCCCCACCCTTCTTGGTTGAGGAGGACCAAGGTGGGCACACATCTCAAGACTGACTAAAGCAAGATTTGGAGGAAGGTAGACATGTATAACCCTAACTGTAAATAATGGATAAGCAGAGCCTGGCTAGAAAAAATAAAATATACAATCTAGGTTTGAAAAATCAGACAGAGGATGGAGAGACTGACAGTGTTTATTACTCTTAATGAAGACATGAAGAAGACCCTTTTGATACTTGGAAGAAATGAACTTAGGGCAAAAAAAATAAGGGATTATATACCAGCAGAATATATTATTTTTAATGGGTTGTGTTGTCTGGAAATGTGAAGTGATTTTCCCAATGCTTCTGTCATCTATAAAATAATCTCAACATTTTGAAGTTGAGCCATGAGCCCTTCTGCCTATGTCAGCCAGCAGAGGCCCATCCTGTGCTTGGTAGGCTTACTCCGAATGCCCATAGGTCACTATTATGAAGCAGCAGGCTCTGCCAGCTCCTTTGAAGTCTGAAGTGGGTTAGGACACTTGTTTCAGGGCCAGCTGCATTGGAAGGAAGAATTGAGCTAGAGGGAGTTTTCAGAAATTCTGGGGGAATTTTCACAAGTGATGGTATATATAACCTGGGATGCATTTAAATTCAGAAAGAGGACTAACTTTCAGAGCTGGGTGGGTGCACCAGATGCCCACAGGGTCAGCAGATAATGTCTATGCCTGAGCCCCCACGTGGAGACAGTGGGGACTGGAAAGTTCACGCCAAAGTGGGAAATGGCTACCTGACCCCTCACCTTGTGGAAAGGTGGGCCTTGTGTTGCCAGGACCAGATGGCTGACTCAACTCTCCTGATTTCTATTTTCAAGCATGGCACCTGACTTGATTTTTACAAAACAGCACGGGAAGCCCAGTCAAAATGTTCTCACAGGCTGGATCACTCCTGGCCATCACTTTGTGATGAAGAATCTCACGGGTTTTGGACACTTGTCTCCTTCAAGATTATTGCTTAGAGTGGGCATGCTAAGAACTTTGAAGGATTCTTTTTTAGTTGAATACTATTTTCTTCAAGTTAAAACTTATCTGGAAAAAAGCAAGCCTGCTTTTCTGGGAGTGGAGGTGGAGGTACTAGCTCCAGGAGGCTCCTTGAAAATCACTGTTCTCGAACTTGTAACCAGGATTCCTATATTTTGAATTCCCCTTCAAAGTTGAAAGGGGACATGGTCTCTGACACTTAGTGGTCCTACCTCCTCAGACTCACCTGCAAAATAAAAATAATAGGATCTACTTATTTGGGCTACTAAAAGGATTATGTAAATTAATACATGGAAAGTACTTAGAACAGGGCCAGGCATATGGTGAGTGCTCATTAAGTATCATCCACTTATATTTGTCAATATCAGGGTTACCCCCTGGGCTTCCCAAGCCACTACTTTAATTACATTCCTTCAAACACTACTAATTTTTTTCTAAATGTGTAGGCCAGTGGCTTTGTCCCTTTCTGGACCCTTGGTTTATTTTCTTCATTAAAACAATAGGAATTATATTAGAAACCAAGCTTAGGAACCAAACCTAGCTAATTTGTCTTTGCATTGCCAGCCTGGGTTAGGTGCCTTAATGCTGCCATCCCATCTTCAATTTAAAACATGGGGACACAGGTGAGTCTGTGTGACTTTGTAAAACTCTTGATCATCAGGACACACACAAGACTCAAGCCTCTGCAACTGAGCAGAGGAGAGGGTGGTGGTGGTGGTGCTGTATCCCCAGGGTGGTGCAGAGCAGGTAATTGAAAATCACATAATATTCATTGCGTATCTTCAGTAGAAAGGCCAGAGGGTGGGTCCATTAATCCCCCAACTCTATTCTTTGTTA